TGCAATGCTTGGTAAGAAATGTACGCACTATCCTGCCCATGTAATTGTAACCCCTCTGTTCAGTATGTTCACAAATAAAATTAAAAAAAAAGAAAAGCAAAAAAAAAAAAAATAGAAAGAATTAAAAAAAAAGAAAGAAACTCAGGCAGTGGGTGAAAAGTACAATGGGGACATATTTCCAGGGCAGCTAAGCAGAGGGCTTTACTGGGCCTCCAGGCAAGAGCCAACAGCTGAGAAAGAAGAGGTCAGGCTCCAGCCCAGGCCAGAGAATGGCCTGGAGATCCCCAGAGCCCAAGGACAGACCCAAGGAACCAGGTCAAGTGGGGTTCAGAGCTGCTGCCCAGAACAAAGGGGTAGAAGCTAAGGCCAGTCGCCAAAGATGTGCAGATGCGCTGAGCCCACCCATGCATGGGCAGAATACCCCAGACTGGGGCCCAGGACTTGCCATGGAAATCTTTAAAATTAGACAAGCATGTCATATTATTGTAAAGACAAATATGAGGAAAATATTTTCCTATTCCACCTATAAATACAGACTTCCAGAAACCAATGCACACCAATGCTTACATGCAAACCAAGTACCCATCTTTTTATCTCTGACAAGTGACAAGGAACCAAGAAAGAAAAGGAAAATAACACATCTCAGAATAAGAAAATCAGACTGGAACTCAAAAACATTGTTTTCACCCAAAAGTAACAATATCAGAAGCATAGGGAATGAGCAAGTTGCCATTTATCACACACAGCAATCTGAGCAAAAGGGAGTGAGGAAAAACGAGGGAAAAGTAGTTTATAAAAAGCAAAACTGTTATTTACATATATATTACACAAAGAACTTAAAGGTTATTACACAGAATCATTATGTAATAAATTGTTGGATTCACAAGACAACTGTATTAATTCTAATCCTGTATGTCCCTACTAATTTAACTTCATGCTATTCAGATAAAAATAAAAAATATATACAAATCTATCCTTCAAATGAGAGATTTTACCATAGACATCTCAGTAATTGATAGAGCAAGTATCAGTAAGGTCATGAAAAAACTGGAATAATTAACTAATTTGATTTAATGGACATATAACAACACTCCCAACCACATCTAGAATACTTACCAAAATGGGCCAGATGACAGACCACTCATAATTTTGTACAAATGAATTTCAAAAAAAATCCCAAAGATCATATTTTCTGACCACATTTGGTTAAAAACTAAAACTAATGTGAGAACAATACACATTTAAGGATTTTTTTTTTTTTAAGTTTGGTCATGAGGCTTGAACTAAGGGCCTGGGCACTGTTCCTGAGCCCTTTTGTTCAAAGCATTTCATTCTACCACTTTGAGCCACAGAGCCACTCTGGTTTTCTGGAGGTTAATTGGAGATAAGAGTCTCAAGGACTTTCCTCCCTTAGCTGTCTTTGAATCATGACCCTCTGATTTCAGCCTACAGAGTAGCTAGGATTACAGGTGTGAGCCTGCATGTGCCCAGCTTCTTAAATCTTTCTGATCAATACAATAAGACCATCTCCAACACTCCAAACTAATCCAAAACTGTGAACAACTTGGATACATGTACAAAAGTTTTGCTTATTAGCAAACCAAATAGGCTATTATTTCTGATAATAGCTTTTACTTACGTGGTAACTGTGGTGTTTTACTATCGTGTGAACGGTAGTCTTCATGAGGAACAGACTTGTCGTCCTAATTGCAAAGAAGTTTATTACAGTTAATATATTTCTAAAGAAAATGGTAATGCTGATTATAGAAAATAAAGACTGGAAGAGGTTGTAATTTAAAGTGATATTCAAGAACTCACCATTTTCACATGCATAGGTCTATCAAATAAAAACTGTCCATTGAACATTGCTGTTGGTTCAGTTAAGGAAGGCCAGTTAATATGACAATAAAATTATACTGAACATTAAATTATCTTATTAAAGGACTCTCCAACTATTCTCTAATATTTTAACACCTTTAGAATTTATTTGTATTAGTCTCTTTCATATACTCAAGGAAAATCTTTTCTTTGCTTTATAGCTTTATCTGATGAATAAGGTATTCTTTTAATTCAACCACTGAAAAAAGAAAATTAACAAGGTAAGCATGATTGCTTTGAATGAGACTTGTTAATTAACAGTTATCAAAAGCAAGTAGGCAGACAGTGGAGGTAGAAAGGGAGAACAGAAAAGAGCTCCCATCAACTCTGTACTATGAGGCTAATTCAAGTTCTAAGAGTGATTTTAGTACATAGACACAGTTAAGTTTTATGTTCTGGAGAGTAAAATCTAACAGATTCCTAAGCTAGGCAACCTTAAATTCCATCATGTCTAAAGAATGCTATCCATCTTCTGCGATGCATCGTTTTAGCAGCAAACAATACTAAAATACAGATCAGGATACAAATTGCTTGAACTGCTTCAATTGCTTGCTCAAAAGTCACAGTGCCCATCCCTCTGCTCTTGCCATCCTTGTCTTCTTTAATGTCTGCTCGCTTTACAGTTCCAGCTATGCTGAACACTTCCTTTAGCTTTTTCCAACCAACTTTGAAGTCAAGCTTGACATAAAATTGTATAAAGTTACATATCTAATAAGCCCCTTCCCCCATGTAAAAATACAACATAATCTTTTTAAATTCTCAAAACTAAAAAGAACTATAAATGTTCAAGTACTATCACTGTAAGTTGTTTAAAATCAGTTCAGCTTTATCTACTTCATTCCTTTATTCTTTTTCTTTAATTCTGCAAATCATATCTCAACGATTCTTCTGTACATTTGAAATTCAGACAACTATTTTCACCAAGAGAAGTTCAGTTTGGGCAAAGTATTGTCCATTCCAATTTCAAGAGCTCAGAACAAATGACAAACTAAGCACAGTATACACACTCACAGATATCAAGGCTACAAGAATGAAAATCCCACTGGGCACCAGTGGCTCATACCTGTAATCCTATCTACTCAGGAGGCAGAGATCTGAGGATTGAAGTTCAAAGCCAGCCTGGGCAGGAAAGTCTATGAGACTCTTATCTCCAATTAGCCAGCAGAAAACTGGAAGTGGCGCTGTGGCTCAAGTGGTAGAGTGCTGGCCTTGAGCTGAAGAGCTCAGGGGCAGTGCCCAGGCCCAGAGTTCAAGACCCACACCCAACCAAAAAAAAAACAACCTCCTTTCTAATATGAACAGATATATGTATAAAATAAATAATTTCAAGAACTGCAACTGTTTATAAATTCCACCGTTCTGTTTTAAAAATCCTCAATACTTGTATTAGACTTTCACCTCAAATTGGGTTTGATTTTACAGTAACTACAGTTTCACTTACTTAGTAAAAAAGTAAGCAATCTTCTAGAAAACTGTAACCCATACATCTAACTATACAATCTCATAATTAGACCCAAGGATTCAAACTAATTTTAGACTAAAACTTACATTAGCAACAAAAATTGTAGAACCAAGTCTACCAGCTTGCAAATTACTGATAACCTCAGGCGGAATGTTTGGATTATTGAGAATTGAAGGTGGCAAATTCATCAACCCTGACCCCATGTCTGGGACGTGTCCTCCTGGAAATGACCCTCCTGTTCGTTGCAATGCTCTACGGGCGTTTTCTCCATCAGGATCCTATAAACACATTGAATGTTAAAAGCTACCAAATACAGCCATAAATCTATATAATTAAAATAAGTTCAAATTCTACAGTAATTAAGCCATTTGGCTCAAATTATTGAACCTCTTGTTTTTTTCTCATCCAAAAAATTGAGTCCCATAAAAATGTGCAAACTGGCACCATATTTTTGTCTCCAGGAATGTCAGTTACATGCCTTTCTCCAATCACTAAAGTCACTTGAGAATTTGAAATTAGTTTACTCCTGCCTTCATGCTAGTGAGCAAGCATGGCCCATACACATAATGTGACTCCTTTCCCCCGCCTGGCAAAAAATACAGGATGCCCAATAGAAGATCAAATTAGATTAACTCAAAGCTTTTCAAGAGTATAACAGACTGTTATAGAGGGATAATGGGGTGTATGTAATTGGTAAATTTCCCTCTGAACAAAATACAATTATATTCACTCTCTAACTTCTTACCTTCTTCAATAATAATTATATTCTGAGATAGGAGTAGGAGAGAGATAAAAGAATCTAAGTATCCAAGTAAAGAATTAGAATAGGCATTAAGTCTATTAATTTTAAAAGAGAAATATTCTATCTGAACATAAAAAAGCCAGTTTAAATATACTTCTCACTCTCATTCTACTAGGTATAATGCAAACAAAAAAACAAAAACACATACACACAAATATATATATAAACTGACCACATACTATCATCTGCAATGTCAAATAGTTACAGTAAAGGAAGCCATCAACTCTACTGTTGCAAACTTTATTAAGCAAATACCAATTTTTTTTAAAAAGGGAGCTGAGAGTGTGGCTTAGTAGTAGAGTGCTTGCCCAGAATGCATGAAGCCCTGGGTTCGATACCTCAGTATCACATAAACAGAAAAAGCTGGAAGGGCACTATAGCTCAAGTTGTTGAGTCTCAGCCTTGAGCAAAGAGTCTCAAGGACAATGCCCAGGCCCTGAGTTCAAGCTGCAGGACAGGCAACAAAAAAAAAAAAAAAAAAGGAGAGAGAGGGGGAAGGGAGAGGCGGGAAGAGAGAGAGAGGGAAGGAAGGAAGGAAGGAAGGAAAGAAGGAAGGAAGGAAGGAAGGAAGGAAGGAAGGAAGGAAGGAAAAGAGCTGGGCACCAGTGGCTCATGCCTGTATTCCTAGTTACTCAGGAGGCTGAGAAGTGAGGATCAAGGTCTGAAGCCAGCCCAGGAAAGAAAAGTCCATGCGACTCTTATCTCCAATTACCTCCCCCCAAAAAGCTTTCACAGCCAAGATGGCTGTGAAAGGATGAGTACATTTTTCAGTAATACATTTTTCAGTACTAAGAAATAAAAGCGTTACAAAAGTAAAGAAATAAGCATCAAAATATTATAAAACTTTAAGTTTAATAAATATTTCAGATCTGAGAACTCAAAAAGCATGTAAGAACACTAAATTTAGAAGAGTACTTACCTATGTGGGAAAGAAGACAAAACAGACATTTCTATCAAGATACATATGTTGTTTGTGCTTAACATTAATAAAGCATATTTCTATGATTTGATTTGTCTTATATGTGATAACTATTTATAACTATATATGTATATACATAAAACAAACAGCCTAACAGTTTTTATTCTTCTTTCCCCCATTCTGTCAGCCTGTTAAGTCAGTGACTGCTAATTTTTAGAGGTTCTTTATTATTTACAACTACTCTAATCTCCACTTACTTATGTGGGGAAAAATTGTAATGTTAAAATCTTCTAGAGAACTGGAAGTATACTTTCCTTAAGATTCATGCCAACCACACATTCATAAGTCAAAAATTCCCAGAAAAGGGGATGCCTTTAGTAATCTTAATTTTAAAAGATCTATTAGATAAATCCCTCCTCATTCAGTGAGAACAAATTTGACCATTCTTCCCCCTTAAGTTAAAAATGGACGCATCCCGCATCAGCCAGAACCTCATAAGTATTCCACAACATGCTAAAACTTTAAAGACTCTGATGATATGGCCTTGGCTTTTAGCATCTAATAAACTATTTTTTTTCTAACAGTGGAAAGAGCCAGGCACCAGTGGCTCTCACCTGTGACCCTAGCTACTCAAGTGGCTAAGATCTAAGGATCACAGAACAAAGCCAGCCTGGGTAGGAAAGCACATAAGATGCTTATCTTCAACTAATTACCAAAAACTCCAGAAATGGAGCTGTGGTTCAAGTGCTGGAGTGCTATCCTTGAACAAAAAGGCTCAGGGACTGTGCCCAGGCCCTGAATTGAAGCCCCAAAACAAGCTACTTAAGAGCAAATAGGAAATCATGTACAAGTAAGTTTATCCTTAGTACACAGTGCTTTAACAAGCATTTATGCTTAAAATTTTTTATCGAATACATTACCAAAATGAAAATTTAACAAAAGCAAGAGCCAGGTACTGCTGGCTCACACCTGTAATCCTAGCTACTCAGGAGGCTGAAGTCTGAGCATTGCAGTTCAAAGCCAGCCCGGACAGGAAATCCCATGAGATTCTTACTTAATAAACTACTCAGTAAAAGCCGGAAGTTTTACTATGGCTCAAGTCAAGGCACTAGCCTTGAGAAAAAGTATCTCAGGGACAGTGCCCAGGCCCTAAATTCAAACCCCAGGCCCAACATGCACACACACAGACACACAGACACACACAGACACACACACACACTTAAAAGCAGGTGCTTACACTTAAACATTTAAATTCTAAATATAATTAATCTTACCTCTTTAATATTCAGAGGTCTTCCACTAAGGTCATATTTGTTCATAGTTTCTAGTGCTTTCTTTACAAATTCTTCATCTTTGAATTCAACCACACTTCATAGGGGAAAAAAATGTATAAAAATATTTATGTATTAAGAGCCTTTTTTCCAGTCAGAAGTTTAATTTGACTTAAGATAGAAAAAAATTCTTACCCACAACCCTATATCCAAGTAGATTTGTCAATATATGCAAAAGAAAAAAAGTTTTAGATCAGTAGATGAAGTAAATGGTGGATTCTAACATTTCAATCAAGAGTAATTAATATAAAATCATGTTTTGTTTTTTATGCCACCTCCAGAATATAACAGGCAAGAGACCACAAATTTTTTATAAAATTTTAAGTCTAACACTTTGAAATGGTAGAGATAGCATGTAACAGCTTAGAGCACATTTTCCTTTTTTTCTTTTTTCTTTTTGTCAGTTATGGGAGCTGAACTCTAGCCCTTCTTAAAACTAACATTCAATCAAACCAAGGAAGAAACTGAATGTTCCATTATATGTGGTCATTACCGGCACAAATACTTTCAAAGTATGTAAACAATATATTTTGCAACTCTAATCAAAAGAGCAAATAAATGTTTTATTCTTATTAAAGTTCTCTATTAGATTAGAACTGGCTGCACACAATTTAATAGCACCCAGTCTCAAGTATGGAAAAAACTCACCTATGTTAAAGAAAATTATAGAACCATATTTAAAAATAATTTCTTGTGATTATTGCTTATAATGCCATTTGAATGTGATGACAAAGTTTTATTTCTCATGTACCCAACTAATGTTTGTTAATATAATGAAATAGTTAATAGCTTTCCATTATATTCTTCAGTATATTTTATTCCAGTTGCTAAAAATTAAAATATATTATTAACCAATTCATCATGTTTCAATTTAATCATCAATATCATTCATACCAACTGGTCAGAGCACTGCCTCTTATGTAGTCCTGCAGGCTACCAAATTAATCTTTTCAATAAAAATTTCAAAAATACATTTTGAATTAACACCTTTTAGTTATAGGCCTCTCCTAAAACTCTTAGGAAATAGTATCAATTCAGCGACTTTTAAAATATCCCTGAAGACATCAAAGTACAACATAAAATTCCTATGGTAAAATCTTAGCAGCTAAGAAGAAGCATTACCTTAAACATTAGAAAAAAATTGAATGTCCTTTAAAACATTTACAAAACCCATCCCTTCCAAGCAGCTAGTTTGGTTGGTATAAGTGTCTGACTTGCTAGTATAAAGCCTCAAATCTTACATAATAAAGTAAAACGAAATGAAACTTAAGTTTCCAAAAACTGGTACATTATACAAAAAGTAAACTGCTGAGGAACTTTTAAACCTCAAGCAGATGATTGCCCACAGCACTTACCCTTGATTTTCCTTCCGCATCCTTAAAGAGCTCCACGTATGTAACCTCACCAACTACATAAGACATACAAAAGGAAGATACCAAGAAACAATACATTTAAACACCAGTATCTTGCTTTACTGCACACCTGTGCACAACTCTACAGAAAAGCACCTATTATTCACCAACAATCAAAACCAGACCAACATACCTCCTGTCAATGGCTATGCAAATTTAACTAATTTTCAAAAATGTACATCATCCACATTCTCTAAAAAAAGCTAACCACTATATTAACCTATTTCATACTACAGATCATATTTTGGCCAGCATGATATAGTTGGTGAACAAATGCACATATAAATACAAATGGTCCCTTTGGCCTATCATATTAACAACATTAGCGCTTTTCAAATAACTTTGGTCAGCCTACACACAACAGCTGTTTTAAGGTGACTTGCTACCTGAATGTCTTCAATCATGTTTGCCATCAGTAAACTCAATTTACAAGTCATGCTTCACAGCAAGCCACACACTAAATAAAGTCAATGAATAAAACCAATCAAATAGTTGTCACCTTACAACAGATACACCAATGCAATTTTTTAAATTTATTAGAAGAGATCAGCCTCAAAGCCAAGTACATAGTTAACAGACAGTTGAAACAATTTTTCAAGAGGTAGCAGAACTAACTTTTACAAAGTCAAGTATTAAAATTATTTTCCCCAAAACCAACCATGTATATAAGATGAATGTTTTCAGATTAGCCTGAAAACAAAATTGCAACCGCAGTAACGCAATTTTAATATAGAACTGCAAAGACAGCATCAGAGCAGTCATGACAATGCAAACAAAATGAATTCCACAGCCAGATTCCAGACTCCACCAAGATAGTAACAAAACAGCTTTTGGAAATATATAGTCAAACCTTATTGTTCATACATTAACACGCTAAATATATTGTAACTAATGCAATAGTCCCTTAAAATCTATAAAGCTTCAACTAGACAAAGCAATCACATTAACAAAATTCTTGGTGGCATGCAAATGCTGGCTCGCTACTATCCCACCAAAATGGTAAAAAAGAAAAATACTTCATTTATCTCTACTACATTGTAATGCAATTGTTGTGTCAAGGGAAAGGAAGTGAAAAGATTAGTTCATATGTCAAGAAATAAAAATCAGATTTTTGAGTCTGTGTGGCTAAGAGGAATAAAAAAAACCTTGCTTAGTTTCCTCCCCTTCCTACATGAAGATTATCCAACAGTGGGTTGCTTCAGAAATAGTTACCTTTTTCTCGCATCAGATCTTTAATAGCTTGCCATTTCATGTCATAAGGAATGTTGCTAATGAAAACTCTGTTTCGATTTGGACCCTTCTTTTCTCCACTGCCCAAATTCTTGTCTTTTGAATAAGGGTGAAATCGATTGGCCTTCTTATTTCCAGTAGATTTTTCTTTTAAATCAGATTTCTCTTCCTTCACGGATTCATCATTTTCCCTGTAAATTTTTAAAAAATGCCCTTTAGTTGTACTTCTAAGAATGAAAGTCTATATTGAACAAATAATTTGTTTAATACTTCACAAAACTTTCAACTAAACTGAACCGTAAGAGCTGACCCAGTAACTTTGAATTATCCAATGCTCTGTAAAGCATGGGTTTGAGCAATTAGCGAACCTGACAGTGTCTCAGTTAACAATCCTCACTTTCTTTCACCTTAAATTATTGCAAGCATCCAAAAACCCAGTTTTCTCCCATCACACTACTTGTTATTACAGGGGAGTGTTCATGGTGCAGCCCATCATCCCAGCTACACAGGAAGCATTAAGTGGGAGGATCTCAAGCTGGCCAAGCAAAAACTTTCAAGAACCTATCTAAAAAAGGGATAAGCATTGCCAGGTATTGATGGCCCATCAAGATATTAGAAAAGTTCATCTCTTGAAAGTTAACAGGATTCTTTCTGGAACTTTCTCCTTTTATTACAAATATAATCTAAGCCTGGCACCAGTGGCTCATGCCTGTAATCCTAGCTACTCAGGAGGCTGAGATCTGAGGATTGCAGTTCAAAGCCAGCCTGGGCAGGAAAGTTTGTGAGACTCTTATCTCCAATAAACCCGCTAGAAAACCGGAAGTGGTGCTGTGGCTCAAGTGGTAGAGCGCTCGCCTTGAGCTGAAGAGCACAAGAACAGCGCCCAAGCCCAGAGTTCAAGTCCCACGACCGACAAAAAAAAAAAATATATATATATATATATATAATCAAAATATAGTCATGTCTAGATATCAACATTCATATATTCATAAGAAACTCAAATTTCTTCTATTCACAACTTTCATAAATACAGAACATTTATGTGGTATCCTAATATCTTCATGTTGAACAGTTCCTTAGTACTAGTACCTATACGATGAGGAGACAGGTACAGGAGAGAAGCAATAACACATGAGTCAGAATTTTCTAAATCTTATCTAATGAGATGTAATTGGAAAAATATCCTATCTGAAAGACCGGAACCACAGTGCAACTATTATGCTGCTATACAGTCAACCACAAGATATACATACATAGAAAATAGGTATATATTTAAGATGAACCCTATAGTTCAAAGTTTATATTCAAGTTTATAGTGCTTATATGTAAATCTCTAAGGTTTAAATGTAAGCATATTTAAAATGCAATTTATCTTTCAAAAGGAATCTTTTAGAACAGGCTTAAGTTACTATTACTTTAGTGAATTTGCAATTATTAAACAAAGCATCTATTTTAAGGCAATATTTCACAGCATATACTAGTGAAATTATCTAGAAATGATACTCAGGAATCCTAATTTTTTAAAGCTTCCTGGATTATTCTGACAACCAACCGTATTTCATAATCTAGGGTATAAATTATTTTCCAAGTCATTCTGAGAGTGTACACACTACAGAACTCCACACACACCTGTTTTACAACATGCTGAGCTATTCCGTGAGCAGGCATAAACACAGCATTACCTTTATGAATAAAGGCTATATCCTTTGTATCAGCAGCATTTAGCATGTGAGCTACATTTACCATGTATTTAATGAACAAGAACTTTTGAATGAACACTTAATAAGTATACTATCCGAGTACAGACTGTATTACTGTCTGCCAGAAAAGCTGCTGGAATTAAGAGACTTTCTACCAAACTTACTTTTCCATCTTTCTAGACCTTGATGGGGACTTGTTCACTGCCAAATATATTCCCTCATGAGAAATGATATGACCTAGAAGGGGTCTTCTCTCCTGTCCAGAAAGTACCTTCCTGTCAGAACAGAGTACTACTCTTGAAAATGGAGGCAAGCTGCCAAGAGGCACAGAGGCCTTTTCTCTGGTTCCTGGGTATAGCAGATACAATGACAAACTCTTCCTCTTAATCCCCTAAGAATTCATTTACATAACAGGGAGCCTAGGCAGAATTCAATGGATGTTTGTAAAATAACTCTTTGTTCAGGTAAGCAGGTACCTGTATAGTATCAACATAAAAATCCCTTTTCTTCTATTTACTTTCCTCAGGATGAAACCAATTGTGAAATTGCATAAAATTCCGAAATATAATGTCCTTCTTTTTTTTTTTTTTTGTCGGTCGTGGGACTTGAACTCTGGGCCTCAGCTCTTCAGCTCAAGGCAAGCACTCTACCACTTGAGCTACAGCGACACTTCCGGTTTTCTGGTGGTTTATTGGAGATAGGAGTCTCACGGTCTCTCTTGCCCAAGCTGGCTTTGAACCGCGATCCTCAGATCTCAGCCTCCTTGAGTAGCTAGGATTACAGGCATGAGCCACCAGCGCCCGGCTATGTCCTTCTATTTCTGACCTGGCAGGGAGGGGTGCTGTCCATGAATATGGTAAACATTTACTAACAATATTCTCACAAGTTCATCAAAACAAAAAACAAAAAAACTTCTAATTTCCTAACTGTACGTTCTTCAAAATATTTTCTTAAAGGGTGACAAAAGAGATCGATTTCTTCTTTTTCCACAATTAGTAGCATCTTTTAAATACCACTATAGATAATTTAATGAGTTTTATCTACAGAAGATATATTAGGTTAGAGGCTAAAAGAGTTCACTTCATTACCAAAAGCCAAAGCTCCACAATTCCTGAATTCTGTGTCATAAATACACTATGAAGAGAAAGTTAAAAATAAATGCAAAACCTCTTAAAGAAACTATGATATCAAAATAGTGGTACTGTATCCAGAATTCCATATACTAATTCTCAATCTATTCATTTTGGCAAACCCTCCTTTTTAAGGCATTTAACAAATCTAGTCACTTTTATCTGTCTCTGAGAATGAATTATGCCTAACTCAAATAATAGTTTAAATATCTGAGGAAAAATCAATATCCAACATCAAATAAAAAAATAGCACTAATGTGTGATTTCTAGAAGCATAATGCTATAGTAGTAAATTCAAAGTGAATCTCAATTTCAGAAGAAAAATAGAAAGATCTCAACTTCATATCTCAAGGAACTCGGGGAAAAAAAGCCCAAAAAGTTAGTTAAAAAGAAAATAGCAAATAGCAGAACGTAAATAAGTGAAACACACTAGAAAAATAATAAAATAGATTAACAATACTAGGATTTGATTTTTTTAAAAGGGCAAATAAAACTGACAAACACTAAACTAGCCACTAAGAGAGAAAAAAAAATTCTTTAAAGACTCCTCAAAAACCCAAGAGCAGGGTGCTGGTGGATAATACCTGTAATTCTAGCTACTCAGGAGGCTGAGATCTCAGGATCACAGTTCAAAGCCAGCCAGGGCAGGAAAGTCCTTGAGACTCTTACCTCCAATAAACCACTAGAAAACTGCAAGTGGTGTTGTGACTCAAGTGGTAGAGCCCTTGCTAGCTCTGAGCTGAAGAGACAATGCCCAGGCCCAGAGTTCAAGCCCTACAACCAACAAAAATCAACAAGAGAAATTACAACTGACAAATGACAAGATAATCCAAGAGAGTTATCAACTGATAAATACAAATGACAAGAGAATCCAAGAGAGTTATCTAACAATCTGGATGCCTTAGAATAAATTCCTAGAAACACACAGCCCACTACATGAAGAATCATGAAGAATCAGAAAGTTCTAAGTGGAAAAGGAGAAGGAATCAGTAAGAAAAACTCTCCCAACACTAAAACTCTCTGGATCTAATAGCCACACATAAATTCTAACAAATGTTTATCAATAACAGTCCTGTAACTCTTCAAAGAAAATACTGAATGGAAGAGGATTGGGAAATATTTTAGGAGGCTAACAAGACTCTGATATCACAAAGCAAGACAAAGATACTATAAGGAAAGAGAGTTTTGTATCTTTGATAAAAGGATCATACACTAGAATCAAGTGAGAATTGAATGTAAGGATGTTTTAACAACTCTTAGAATAAAAAGGCTGACATACCCATGTTAGTCATCTTTCAGTATCCACAAGCAATAGGCTCCAGGACACTACCCCTCATCCCAGAAAAGGCCCAGGTCCTTTATAGGCTTTTAAAGGCTCAAGTCCTTGATATAAAATGTTTATGCATATAACCCTAAGCACAACCTCCTAACCTCAAACATACTTGAAATCATTTCTGGGTTACTTATGATACTAATACAATGTAATTACTAGGAAATAAAATGTTACACTGTATTGCTCAGGTAACAATGACAAGAAAAAGCTCTTGTAAGTGTACAGTATAAACGCCACTTGGGAAGAGAGTGTGTTCTATCCACATTCAATCCAGTTTTTATCACTCCACTGTGTTTCACTTCTATTTTAATGCCAAATTCCCTGAAACTCAACATTTTGGTGGGCATGGTAGAAGGTGCTTCATGCAGTTTGATTTCTCAATAACTAAGGTACTCGCATACTTTCCGCTCAAACTCCACTGAGTTTCAATCTCTAACACCTGCCACTTCTCTTCTGCCCACTCAAACTCACTTAAGAGCAAGACTGTCATCAGCAAGTTAGGGAGAGAGCTATATTCAACCAATCCTGAAACAGACTGGTCCAGGTCATACTACATAGCCTCAGAGATTTTCACACAGGAGACAAGTCAGAAAGACATTTATTTACCTTCCCCATTTGAGTATAAATGCGTGTTTATTCTTCCTGCTCTTGAGACAGACCTGGGAGGGGAAAGGGGTGCTTTCCCTTAAGTAGTATCACACTGTCAATTTCAGGGTTGAAAATAAATGCTGGACTTCATACAGCCCCCCCAGACAATGCTCTCACTAGAGGTGAGAGCCTTCTACGTCCCTATCACACTGCCTGCTAACTGAAAAACCTTAGGCACTTGAGTCCACTAAATGGTTTATGGGCACTGGTGACAGAAGCAACCCTAAAAGTGGCAGGCTTTCTTTACTGAAAGGTGTGAGCCCTGGTGGCTCACACCTGTCATCGTAGCTCCTCGGTAGGCTGAGATCTGAGGACTAAAGTTTGAAGCCAGCCTGAGCAGGAAAAGTCCATGAGACGCTCCTCTCCAATTAACCAGCAAAAAAAAAAAAAAAAAAAAAAGGCCCAAAGTAGAGCTCTGGTGCAAGTGGTAGGGTGCCAGCCTTGAGCGCAAAAGAGAAGGGACAGTGCCCAGACCCTGAGTTCAAGCCCTAGCATTAGTGTGCACGTACACACACACACACACATACACAGATGCATTCACACACAATCTTATTTAGGGGATGGACCAGTGGTCCAGCACTGGAACCAGACATGAGA